GGAAGGGCAAGGTCCCAAAGGAGCCCCATTTACCTCCCAGAACAGTCACCCAGACTCCCTGCCAACGCTAAGTCTAAGCCAGGATAGCTCAGCTCCAGGACAGCTCACACTATTTCATATTTAGCTGGTGCACTCTGGAGCAGAGACATCGGAAGGGAGGAGGAGTCAGTGACATTCAGGGGGATGCCAGGGACCTGCATAGAAACCCCAGTTCACAGAAATCCCCGAGGCAGCTCAGAGGTACTGGTAAATGGAAGTGAGCCTTTAGGAAGGAAGGTGGAACGCCAACCAGTTCAGCTCCTGGCCCTCACAGGCCTTGAGTCAGTGGCTGGTGACACAAACCTAGAAGCAGCTGGGAGCCCTCATCAGCCAGGCCCAGATTCTAGCCAGGGTGCTGCTCATCCACTCCTACACTGATCTCAGGGGCTGGGCATCACTGTAGGCCTGGGTGACAGGTGGCAATCTGTAAAGGTCATTAACTCCAGCACACCAAGTTTTAAAGCAAAAATGAGGTCTTTTAAAGAGGCAGCTGCCGAGCTATATAAAGAAATGGGGATTTTAATGTTTTGCTTTTTTTCCCTCTTCTACTGCGGCATTATCATAACATTCCCCCATAATTACGCCCATAAAGTCACCTGAAAGTACTTTCACGCCACAAAAGTTGATCTACATATTTTATGCCCTGGGTGTAGAAGCAGGTCCAGGTCTGAAAATTTAGCAGGGAGGAGTGTTATCTAGTCAAGCTCTCTTCGGGTTCCGGTTGCCTCTGACCTCACTGAAGTCCAGATAGCTCACGTTTGGTGGGAGCAAGAAGCCAGCCCAGTGTGGAAGTGTAAAGAAGGCAGCAGACACTGGCCTCAAGGAGAGGTTGGGGGAAGGACAGAGGTGGTCCAGACCCTCTGCCCAGGAGCAGCCCTGGTTCTGAAAAGAAGGAGATGGATAGTCAAGTCCAAGTCGCTCCTTGCAGGTTTCTAAACAGAAAACCCTCGGAGGAGGCAAACAGCCTCTGCCTCCTTCCTCCTGGGGCTCTGAATGCAGCTAGGGAAAATGGTTTACCATTATATTACGTGGCTGAAAGAAAAGCACATTTCACCCTAGGACATTCATCAAAAAAGAAAAAAAACAATAAACAAAAAAACAGGGAGGGGGAGAGGGGAGGGGAGAGGGGAAAGAGAGAGAGAGAGAGAGAGAGAGAGAGAGAGAGAGAGAGAGAGAGAGAGAGAATGCAAGCACCTGACTGACTCCTGAAAGGCATCACTTCCTGAAGCCTCTGGTATTTTTGAGAACTCCAGAAGCCACATTTGATCAGCAGGAATACAGCACATTGTCATCTCCACTAAATATGCCACAAATTGTATTTGTAAAGGAAATGCATGTTGGGGACCATCAAAGTGCCTACGGTCCGTTAGTATTCTAATGGATTAAAAACAATTCAAAACTTGTTTGTAATTTCTTCTATTCGCAGCTGCGGCCGTGAGATTTAACTGAACGGCACAATTCAATTTTAACAGGATTTGTTTGGAAAAAAAAAAAAACTATGTTAAACAGGCAGCCCCCATGCCTCTCCTCCACTGGACTCCCCGGTGCTCTGAAATGAGGCCATTCTTACGGCATTTACATGCCAAGAGCGTCTGTCCACCACGCGGCTCTGAAGACGGAACTTGCCATCTATGCTAAAGCGGTCTCCTTTATTCCAGAACTGAACACTGCTGCGCCCAAGCACCAAAGTCAAGGCTCGGTGTCACAAAGCTCATCATTTTCTCCACGCTCCTTGTTGTTATTATCCCCCAACACGGCACAAGCCAGTGTGGAAAGAAGAACTCTTTGGTGCAAGCATGGTACACGGCACACCAGCCCCAGGTCCTACCTCATTCAACAGCGGCGTCTGGCCGGCTGACCTTCCTGCTCCACACACTGGAGCAATTCAAACACGCCAGCCCTTCCAAACCACACTCTGAGGAGTTTCCCAAGCCCCAGAATAAAGCGCTTGCCCCTTCCTCACAACAGCTGTCACCTAACTTTGCCGGGAGCCCTTGGTAAGCACGCTGGGTGCTTGCTTACGAAGTGGACCTTACAAGTAACGTTGAGCACACACGAACTAGAACACCCATTTTAAAGGCAGCCTCACGGGGGACTGACTGACGA